AAAACCTCGCAGGAGCTGAAGGAAACATCCATGGCGGGCATATGAGTCGCCATGCTAGTTCTCGAGACCGCTCCGGCAGCCAACAGAGACCCGACAAGACACCTTGCCTTCACTTTATCCCGCGTGCGAAAACTTGGTGCAGCTGGGTTTTTTGACTTGACTTGTGCAGCGAGAACCAAAGGCTTGGTTTCGCTTTGCATCGGCCTCGCCACGTCTGCTTCGAAGCTCCTCGAATTTCTTATCAAGGAAATGTTCTCCACAACCGCCATACCACCACCTTTTCCCGTTCCACTGTGGCTCCTGCTTGCATTGCTGCTTGTTTCAATGCTCCTCGGTGGTGGTGAAAGCGTATTTCGCCTTCACCTGCTCATCGCACGCTTGGAATCCTACCAGCGGCTGCGTGAAGCCGTTTCAGACCGACTTGACAAGGCCGACAGCGGGTTCGCAACCCTGAAGCCAGCACAGTCATAGCGACAGGGGACACTTTTCTTTCTCCTTGGCAGTGACAGAAGTGGCTATTTCCTGTTATGAAGGATGCATTCTTGAATGGAGGACTTGCTGTGCTTATGACCGTGGCTCCCTTCGTGTTAAGTCAAGGTTTTCGTGGGCCACTGCGGGCGTGCGCTACGCAACGCATGTCGGGTGACTTTCCCTGATGCAAGGCCCAGCCTTGTAGTGTTTCTTTGGCGCTTATTTGGAGGCTCAGAGCCCCTGATTTTAGAAGCCTCCCCTTTCTTGTCATGAACATCTTTTCTTCATGGGCTTCTTCGTATGTAGCCTTGCCCCTCGAAAGGCAAAACCCTCGCCCCGCAGATTTGGTCTCAGTCCGGTCAGCTTTTCACTAATTCTTCCGCTAATGACTGGGCGGATGCTCCGGGCAAAGTGCACGATTTCCGGAGGTTTACAGAGGGCTAGAACAGACTTGCTTGTGGAGAGAAAGGCATCGCAGTTTGCTTGGTTGACCCTGCGACGTTATGCATGACTATCAGACAGCGAAGTTGCAACAACGGAGACAGAGTTCGTGAGTGCGGGCTTTCCCAGTTTCTGCAATCGCGCGGCCCGAAGTACTAGATGACACGAGATGACAACGAAATCTACATCCCGAAGCCAGTATGGACCCTGATTGAAAACACAAGTCGTGCAGTCCCGCTGACAAACTTCAAGGGCCGACGTCGACCATTGTGTGAACGCAAGTGTTGTGCAAAGCGAAAAAAGCAACCAGATAAACTCTTCCCCCCACAGAAACACTCAGCAACATATCATTCAAAACTCCAAGCCATGTGAGCTAGCATGCCATACGTCCGAGAGTTGGTTTGGCCACACAATTTGCAGCTTTGTGAGCCTCAGCCAGGAATGCTGATTGAATGGGACAGGCCTCGCACAGCCAGCTATGAGAGCGCGCTGCAGAAACGGCACGAAGCCTTTGAAATGATCACGAGAGGGCTTGCTTTTTGGGGTTTGCGGTTCAAAACTGGGAAACCGTCTGGGGGTTAGGGCGCATGGATTTGTTCGCAGAGAGCGAGGGAGGGAGGGAGAGAGAGGGCGAGAGAGCCAGAGAGAGATGGTTTGGTGCTACCAGACGCGTGACACTTCATTACATCAGCCTGCAAACAACGTCATGGCTCGGTAGTTCTTCCATCTCATCTGCCGAACAGATCCCAGCACAAAAATACTCCCCAATCGGAGCCTCAAGCCTCATGCCCGGCACTGCAGAACATCAAGCCCAGCGGATGCTGAAGCTTCACAGCAGCAGTTCCGGAAAGCACGGGTGTAGTGAGACACACCACGGGCCGATAACATCGCACCATGGGTTCAGCTCTGTGTCGACCAGCGGGAGATGACTCCATTTGCTGCTTGCAATCTACAGTTCATCCATGCCACTTCCCACTCTGGGCAGTCCCACGTCTGGTGCAGCATTTTTTTTCTAAAGTATGGCCCAGCTGACTAGTTAGGTCAAATTCACCACCATCTCTGCTTAAGTTGTCCGAAAGGTTGTAGCAAAATAGCCAACAAGATGCACTAAACGCTCTGAGCCGCACATCTCAACCCAGAGAAACTGAGGTCAAGGTGTCCGATTTCCTAGAAATGCATGGTCCTCCAGAACCTCACAGCACCTTGAAAGAGAAGGGCTTGCTGCACCAATGGTTCGAGGACATGTTTGTAATTTTCATCAGCCACCAGTGGTTGAGCTCAGCCCATCCAGACCCGCAGGGAGAACAAGTGAGGGTGCTTCAAAGGGCACTCCGAAGTATGATCGATGGATCTCTGCATGTTGCAGAGGATTTGGTGTCCATGTCGGCTGACATGAACTTGTCTTCGAACATGCGGCAGCACATTGCAAGCGGATTCATCTTTTTCGACTGGTTTGCCATCCCACAAATCACCGCACGACAAAGTGGCGTGAACGAGGAAGCGATCAAATCCGATGCGGCTTTGGCTGTTCAGAGCATCCCCGCGTACGTGGAACTGTCAAACTTGTTCTTAGCAGTGGTGCCAGAGTTGACGCACAAAGATACGGCAGCCCTGGTGAACTATGGTACGTGGCTCTCACGAGGGTGTCTTGGTCTGACTTGGCAGGATGTTTGAGCCACCTTCTCATTCCTAAAAGCTTTTAAGCTCAAGACCCAAAACTCCAAACACAAATCCCTGTTCTCTCGGGGAAGCTGGCCAAGGTGGTGCCGAGCCGAGTTGTGGTGCCGGCTCTTGTCGAACAAGGTGGGTAACTGTCCAAATCATGGTCTCCTTGGAAAACCCCATTATATAATTCCACCATTCTGAATGCCCTGTGAAATATTATTCTGAACAGGGCAACCCAAAACGAATCCTAGTTTGGACAGCCACTCAGGCGGACACCTCCGTCATCGTCGTGCATTCGCCAGCGGAGGCCGAGTTTATGCTCCCGGGCTCTCGTTAAGGACCTTAGACTTAGCTGACTTAGCTTCAGTTACCAGGTTACCGGAAGAAGGAGGAAGTTGTATGATTCATTTATAGATCCCTACATATCCCCACTTCAGACTTAAGGAACTTAGCTTCAGTTATCCAGGTTTTAGACAATGAAAAAAAGAGGTAGGTTGCAAGTTGTACTATTCGCGTATGGATCCTTAAGTAGAAGAACGTGGAACTTGTATTTTCATTTGTAGATTTCTACTGAAGGAAATTAGTTTAAGTTAGCAGTTAGCAGAAGAAGGAAAGCATGTTATTTACGAAAGATCTTTAGTATGGTAGCTCAAGAAAAACTCTTTCAACCCTAAACCCTAAACCCTAGTCCTTATCTTAAAAAGGAACTGCTTAGCAAGAACCCAGGTTCCCACTGGATTGGCAACACAGCACCATTGTGGATGGTGACTTCACGGTGGAAGCAGATCGCGCCACGGTCGTCCAGCTTGGGGAGACTGCCGTGGAGAGCAAGGTCGGATATTTGCAGTTCCACGGCCCCCTGAGCCACTATCGCTTCTATTCTGCCTTGCGGCCCAAGCTGCTGTGCCAGAAGCAGGTCAGCAGAGATGTTGGCGAGTTCCTTGAGTACTTTCAGTTTGATACATTGCAGGAAGCTGCGCAAGACACCAGCAGTATGAATGCTGCAATGTGTGCTGTGCTTTCCGGCGATGCTCCCATCCTGCGCCGTTTGGCCGAGAACCGTGCAAACATGAACTTTGCTTTGCATGGCCTCAGTGATTTGGGCTTCTATGACACCCAAACCCTTTTGATGGCAGCTGTGAAGTCTCGGCAAGACGAGTCTCTGCTACGAACACTGCTGTCGCTGCGAGCAGACGTGAACGGCCGAGCACGGACCACTTTGCCAGCCCTCTACATGTGCCGGTCAAGCGAGCATGTGAAACTGCTTGTCGAGCATCGGGCAGAGTTGCCGAATTACGTTCTGAATGGGGCTGTATCCTTTGCTGGCCCTGATACGGTCATGACACTGTTGAAACTACGGTGTGACCCCAACAGCCACGATGGCACGTGGTATGGCCCCTTACATGCCGTGGCTTTGCTTTCACGGAGCAATCGCCATGCCGTTGCAAATGCCAAATTGTTGCTAGATCACCGCGCCGATGTCAACACGCGCTGCACGCAAGACGGCTGGTTTTACTGGGAGTGCCAATGGGCTCAAATGCGAGCTGCCATTTACGGCTTTGAAAACTGCAACATGATGACCAAAGAGCGGGCTTCCGTGATTGGCGTTTCACCTCTGGGCTATGCGGCCCTCGTGGGACATACGCAGCTGATTCAGCTGTATTTGGACCATGGTGCCGAGTGCTATCCGAATGATCGTGGCGACTGGCCGGATGACTTGGCCCGCAAGAACCACCACCATCACCTCATCCCAATGCTAGCCACTTTCCCTACGTGAGTGGCTGGGATTCCTGTACAGATTCCTGCTGCGTCTTGTTTGCCAGGACCACAACAAGTGGGCAAAGAACATGCAGGTGCCTTCTCATACGGTTGATGATGTAAATCCTGCATTGCCCAGAGTAAGGAATATGCCATAATTCCCATAGTTTAGGGTCCTTAAGGTGATGCAGGATTTATGTCATCAACAGTAGCTCCTGTTCATCCCTTATCGTTTTCTGAGGTCGAGGCTCTACGAGGTTTCAACAAGGGGCTAAGCCCTCAAATGTAAGGCGTCCTCCTGGAGTGTTTTGGAGTTTCTGGGAATAGGTGGCAGCAGCGCAGCCATGAACCATGAACTGAACTGGTTCAAGACCAACTGCCGGTATTCTCATGCCTACTTCGAAGATTCTCGGCGTTACGAGGGGGGGTCGGGTTAGGGTTTAGAGTCTAGGGTTACAGGGATAAGGTTTCGAGTTTAGGGTTGGGGAGAAGGTTTAGGGTCTAAGGATTCGGGCGTGTAGGGAAAGCAATCGCTCCACTCCGGTTTTCGGGGGCGAGCAGGCTATCAGACACATTAGGGTTTAGGGGTTTAGGGGTTTAGGGTCCGGCTATAGAGTCTAGAGGGGAGGAGAATCCATAACGCTAGAGACCCGATCGGCAATGCAATGGGCGCTTCCTTCTGCTCGCCGGTCGACGAGCGATGCACCTGCAGCCCTCAGTCCACGATCCATGCATTCCGATTTCCCTTGTGGGCTGCACCTCGGCTTGGGTTTAGCGGTGGGTGGGCTTTGATGCTTTTGCTAGCTGTTGGTGCAGCATCAACGATGACGGGCTTGGAAGCTAGGACGCGTGGTTCGTTGTCAAACACCCATGGTAAAAAGCGTTGACAAGAACGCAGTTTGTGCGTGTGTCTGTGAGTGCAGCAAGGCAGAGAGACTGAGAGAGGCAAAAGGTGCAAGATTAACATTGTTCAATAGATAGAGACTTACCAGGAAAGAAGCCCTGTCATGCATACTCGGCGTTTCTGTTTATACATGGCCAATGTCTGTGCCCCTAAACGCAAAGTGGGAAAGAGTAGTTCTACTTGGCAGGAAACGTGGTTCAGAGCCCATCTTAACTCCTAAACCCACATGCCCCCAAAGCCTCACGTAAACCCTTCAGTGCACCGAAACCCTCAAGACTCTACACCAGCATACCCTTCAAGAACCTTTATCGTGCACTCATGGGTAGTTCTCTAAATCAGGGTCCCTTTGTGGGTCCCCCAAAAAAGTACAGCACCCTCATAAAAAGGGACCCAAAAGGGACCCTAATTTAGATAACGACCTTCATGGCAGCAAAGCACTCCTGAAGTACGCGACCCATAAAGCCCATAGCCCTAATCCCTAATCCCCAAACCCTTAAGATCCGCAACCCTAAACCCTAAACCCTTAAGATCCAAAAGCCCGTAACCCTAAACCCTAAACCCTTGAGATCCATAGTCCATAACCCGAAACCCGAAACCACCTAAACCCTCAAGATCCAGAGCCCATCACCCTAAATGCTAAACCCTTAAGATCCCTAAGGCCCTGCCCCGCAAGCCTAAACCCTTTAAGATCCACACGACCCTTGCACCTTCGAGGTGCAGCTCTTAAGACCTATAAACCGTAAGCCCTGAATCCCTAAGACCCCGTTGCTACGACCCTAAAAGCCTTAAGATCCACAAGGCCCTTCAGGAATCGAGGTGAAGTAAAAACCCTAAATCCGAAACCCCTAAACCCCTAAACGCCTAAACCCTAAACCCTAGTTAACCTAGAGCCCCAAAGCCCTCAACCCTAATTCACCCCCAAACCTTCGAGGTCAAAGTCTCCGACTTCCTGGAGATGCAGGGCCCGCCGCGGCCCCACCACCTGCTGCAAGAGGAGGGCCTGTTGCATGCACCTCGGCTTTGGCCCTTCGCCCCTGGAGGCTCTGTCTTTTTCTTTTTATGGCGTGCTAGAAGGGTACTAGAAGGGTGTAGGCTGTTGGGGTTTAGGTTGTTTTTTTTTGTCTTTGTGGCTTGTTTTGTGGTTCAGAGTCTCACTGTTATAGGCCTTTTTTCAAATCAGGGCTTCTGTGGCTGAGGGCTGTGGCTGTGTAGGGTGTCTTGGCTAAGGTATGTAGAGTTTTGGGCATGAACGCACCTCGAATCCTAAACCCTGGTATGCTCTTCAAGAAGTTAGGTTTGGGTCACCAAGGAATGGTTTCCTGGCATGTTCGTTATCTTCGCTTCGCATCAGTGGTTGAGTTCCACACACCCAGATCCACAGGGTCAGCAGATGGAGGTCCTTCAAAAGGCTCTCCGCGGAATGATTGACGGATCGCTGCAAGTGCATGAGGACCTCGTGGCCAGAGCTGACAGTATGAACCTGTCGAATACTATTCGTCAGCACATCGCCGAGGGGTTCCTTTTCCTCGATTCCAGGTCGCCCAGTACACCTTCTTTATTTTTCTGATTCTCTTTTAGGCTTGAACAGTAGGAGAAAGATCACCCTTAACTTTGAGGGGTGATCGAAAATCTAGGATTGGTTTGCCATCCCTCACATCACCGTGCGGAAAGATGGTGTGAATGAGGAGTCTGTAAAGAGCGATGCAGCCCTGGCGGTACAAAGCATTCCAGCTTATGTTGAGCTGTCCAATGTCTTCATTGCGCTGGTGCCAGAGCTAACGCACAAAGATTCGTCTGCTTTGGTGAACTACGCATCGTGGCTGTCTCGTGGGTGGCTTGGCTTCGTTTGGTAAAAGCTTTGCGCAACTTTGATTGAGACCGCAATCAGGGAAAGACCGAGGTGGTGTCGCGCCGAACTATGGTGTCGTCTATTGTCAAACAAGATCGACACCACCATCATCGTGATTCATTCCCCGACCCAAGCCGAGTTTATGTTCCCACTCGACTGGCAGCACAACAGCATCGTGGACGGGGACTTCACCGTGGAATCGGATCGTGCCATCGTCGTTCAGCTCGGGGAGACGGCCGTGGAAAGCAAGATCCAACATTTGCAGGTCCAGAGTCGATCATGGTTTAGGGTTTAGGATTTAGGGTTTAGGATTTAGGGTTTAGGGAGCTGCTGATAGTCAGTTGCTGATCTTGCCACTGTAGCAGTTTCTGCCGCCCTGAATGCTGCTGCAACTCATCATTTAAGCTCCAAACATATCTTGCGGTTTTACTCCCTGGGAACTAATGCGATTGCTGGGACTGCTGTGTTTCGTTGGCTTCATTGTCCGCTAAACAGTCTAGTACGCCTTGGCATTAATGTTCGTTGCCATTATTTTCGCATGCCATTCACTGCTATTGTTCTTTCGGGGGGCTGCCGTCGATGCTGAACCTGCATGGGTTCATTGGCATAGCTAGTATTGATGACGATGGTGACTGTGATGACTTTGGCTTACACTTGCTCTTGACGACTATAGTGGCGCTATTTCGAGCAGTTTCACGTGTGGTGGTTGTGATTGTTGATGGGGATGTATGTGTCTTCCATCTTCGATATTGCTGTTGTGTACATTGGTGTTTGCATGCCACATGGGAATGCGACTGGCTGCTAGCTGTTATTTATGCTGCTATTGGTATCTTTAGGGCTTCAGGGTTTGGTCGGTGGCTTTTTCCTTTCTGTTAGCAGTCCCCTCTGCATGCTGTTGACCCGCGCGTGTATATATACTAGGCTCCCCGTGCTGACGTGTGTTTTAAAACACGGCATATGTTCGTAAGCAAATCAAAAACAAGCCAAAACACAGCAAGAAGACAAACACACCACAAACAACACCAGTCCCGACTCCGGAGTACTGTGGAAATCCTTGCTTTCGTTGTTTTGCCTTTGTCTGTTCCTTCAGTTGGAATTCTCCATGATGCCGCGCCCCTCTGCAATCGCAAGTGACCGCTAGTTACGATCGCATACAAAGTGATCACCATACTGGATGTTCAAGTTGGATGCATAGCTCTGAATCGATTTTCTCCGTAAGCCAATCTGTTTGGAACCATCTGCTCTGTTTTAAAACTATCCTCGTCGTCCTTTTGCTTTGCAATGCGAGATCAAATTTGCTGATTCACGCAGTGGCTGCACGGAGCCCTGTGTTTCCGAAGGGACTCAAGCAGGCTTCCTTGCAAGCAGCTCCTTTAAATATCAAACAATGCCCTTTACACAGGATGTAACATATCGAAAGGCGACATGTTTCATTGGTTGACAGCCTTTTCGCTGGAAATAGCACGCTTGATTTTTGCTATGTACACCATGGAATTCTCGTGTCTAGGTCCGTGTTGATTTTTCGACATGACATTTACTCCAAATCTTTTCGTACGCTTCACGTATTTGTAGATGAGGAGATTCATTGTTTGTTCCATGTTCCTTCCCCGTGATGTGATACTTAAGACTGACACAAAACTCAAACAGTTTATCATGTTGCTATATTTTCTGCATCCACTATAAAAACCTGAAAATATGCACACACACACACATATATATATATATGTATAGGGGTTCACACGTCAATTTCATTGTTGTCAGCGGAGAATCATACCAACCTCATTACAAAGTTAGTAACAAAGGTTAAAGAAGCTAAGGACTAGACAATGCATGCACCAACTAAACCCATTTCTGATACCGATAATCCAAAAGTAAGGCAATCGTACAACGGAGGCTTTTCTTGTTTATGACAATTGGCACTACATGCTGAAGAATGCATTGGCTACTGGTAATGGAGCATTAGCAGCATTGCGTTTATGGTGGCACATCAGGAGTATCTGCAAGAAAAGCATTAACACCCGCATAGTCCACCAATAAATCACTTCTGCTCGGCCTGAGCATCGCATAGTAAGTAGTGTACGTTCTAAACCATGTTTTATTCAGGCACGGATGGTGATAGTTTTATGTTCATGGTTGCTAATCAGACTTAGGCATTGACTCGTACGGTATGTGCAGGGCATAATCATGTGCAGGGCATAATCGGTTGCGATGAAACAGAACTATTTGATATTGCACATTTTGAAGCATACGTCTTCGCCTCCTGAGTGGCATGATGCCTGGGTTTCCTGTGTGTCTTTGGTGATAGTCCGAAACTCTGAAAACCTTGTTGCTTTCGATGAACACATCATCTAAGCCTGCTGTGGCACAAGGCCTGGGAACCAACTATCCTGACGTCAGTAGCACACAGTTGCTTCATATGTACAATAATGCCAGGTAGTTAGAGCACAAGGACTCAAGCAGATGAGCACACCTGGATCTTCCTCCCGCCGGTAGCATTTATACCACAAACGCCACTGCAGCTGAAGAAGTGAAGCGAAGGTATCGGGACGGCAAAAGTCAAAACCAAAGCCCTATGCATTCTTGGCGAGACTGGCAAGGGATCATCGCACTTTAAGAAAACCTGAGTAGTTGATGAAGCTTGACTCCAAAATTTACCCTCAACACCTGCCGCTAATCCTTTGCCACGTTGTCACTCTGTTTCCGGTACGTTCGGCGGGACATAGGGTTGCCGCTTAGGTTCTCCTTATCTTCGCTCTTCCCAGGATGGTTCCTCCTGCAGGGTCTTATGCTTTTAGGGGTTCTGAAAAATTTGCAAGGGAGCTGAGAAGGTTATTTGCTGTGTCTGCGCTTCTGGTTTTGAGAGGCGCAGAGATATCTTCAGCCCAATGCCTATTGCAATTGTCATCGTCCTCACCTTTTCTGTCTCGTCATGCAGGTTCCATCTCGACCCCCTTCATCTGCTCTCCTCTGATGTCCCTTAACCCCAGAGACTCCAAAACCCCTTAATTAAGGAATATACCTTAAATTATAATGGGAACCCTGATCAGATTTAAGGTATATTCCTTAATTAAGGGGTTTTGGAGCCTCTGGGACCCCAAGCCGTCAGGTCCATGGCCCCTTACGGGATTGCCGTTTCTACTGCGCCTTGCGGCCGAAGCTTCTGCGCCAAGAACGTGCCGATAGAACGTTGCAGCAATTCTTGGAGGACCTCACTTGACGAAAGGGCTTCTTTACAATGGCATTTGCAATTCGAACATCCGGCCATGCAACGTCCGATCCTAAAACCCTAAACCCTAGACCCTAAACCCTAAAACCCTAAAACCCTAAACCCTACTAAACCCTACTAAACCATATCGAAACCATCAACCCCGACCTTGAAGCCACAGCAATTAAACCTTGAGCCCAACAGGGTTTAGGGTTTAGGGTTTAGGCTCCAAACTATAAGATTCAGTTTGAAACCCTAGACGCTAAACTTCCGAACAGTTCCAATAGCCTCCCCTTCGTAAACTCTGTCTCTTGTCTCTCTCCCTCTGTCTCTCGCTCTCTCTATCTCGCGATCTACCTATGCAACATAACACTATATAACTTTGTAAATGTAGAAACAAATACATAAGTAAGAAAATAAATACATAAAAAAATAAATATATGCATATATATATATACATATGTAGAGATAGATAGACAGATAGATAGATAGATAGGTATATGTGTATATATATGTATATATATATATCTATATATATATCTATCTATATATATA